ATGTTTCACGCGTTACAAGGCCCGGTTCTATTTCACGCACTGAATGCTATACGGTTCTGCGGTTTCTAGGATGATCCGCATCGCGTCGCTGAAAAAATTCGGTCAAGCCGTCGACGGATTAATTAAACGCCGCTTTACGTTTTGCCCAGGTAACTCGACGCGAGTGCGCGGAATGCTCTTTTTTTTTCATCTTTCGAGCGCAGTTCGAGAAAGGGAGGGAGAGAGACGTTTTTTTCCCATTTAAACGATGCCGGTTAATGACTGCATTAGAATTGCAAGCGAGACGCGGTCTTCGAAGGTAGCAGACGTAGGAATTAAGCCGCAGAAAGTCGCGCGTGTTCGCCTCGTTGCACAAAGCCCCGGCAAGGGGGCGAAAAGAGAAGGAGAATTTCTCGCGTTCCTCGCGCCGACGTTCACGTGAACGCACTTTCCTTGCCTTTTCTTCTTTTTCTTTCTTCGAAATTACGTGCAAATATCGGTGTCGAGTGTCGGCTATCGAGAGCGTCCGGTGGGAGAACAAAAACGTACGAAATTTATTAAACGCATTATCGCGATAGCTTTTTTTATTCGTTCAATGACTCTACAGTACGCTTGTAAACGTTGTTCCGTAATAATTTTACGGATACTTCGGTACAGAATTCGTGGCCTACTTTCGTCCAGCGTCAAAATTTCGTCGAGAGAGCGCAAGTTCATCAAATTTGCGGGATGAAATGTTTTCAAGCGATAACTTCACGTTTCGATGAAACTAAAATTTAACCAGTAAATTATAGTATATTATAAGTTAAAGAAAGAAAATATTCCAAAATTCAATTGTCAATCTTAAACAAAAAGCTTATCAAGCTCCTCTTTTTGACCCTTTGCCTCGCGATTTTTTCTGGCTACATAGCTTCTTCTCAGCTATTTACACTTTTAATACCATGTTAAGTAACAAAAATTTTAACTGCTACACATAATCTGTGCGTTGGTAAGCTTCAAGCATAAATTCCAGTTAGAATTCAAATTTATTACAAATGTTAATAAACATTTGGGTTTAATAAGAACCCAAAGAAAAAAAACCACATAATTTATATTTCTTCTGCACCATCTGTAATTAACAAATCTCACGTTCGTTCCACGAATACAACATAAATTGATCTTCGTTCTAAATGGACTAATAAACGTCCAATAATTTACATACGAGAATCCATACGGTGTTATTCAGTTTCTCTTTTTTGACACGATTATAAATTTACGAACGACAGGTACGCGAAGAAAGAAATTCTCTTTCTGTGAATCAATTATCGACGATTTAATTGACTCTGTTGTAGCGCCGGGGGAAATGAGTTCCCGTCGGATTCGCCTGTTTATCCTATTAGGCGTCATTGTTGCCGCAACGGACGATCGGTTTCGCAATAATGCAGTGAACTTTTCTACGCGCGAACGGCCTTGCCTTTTTTCCTTTTTTTTTTTTTCACATCAGCAAACGGCCGCGTGTGGGTGTCACTTACTTTCCTGCCTTGAAAAACCTTTCACTGTTTTTCACCTACATAGACACGCGGTAGACAGCCGCGTGCCGTTACCATAAAGTCAGAGAAATCTTGGGGGCCGTGTAACTTGTTCCATATAGCCGTCCTGGCTACGCGAATTCCATTTCATCGGTCGACATTGCGCTCGTTTCGCGTGCCACGCGTTTAGCGTAATTACGGCTACCGATGAAAAGTCTCACGTTGATTGATGCTTGAATAGAGACAACGTTTATCGAGTTTCGTGCGTTTCTGCGGTTTTTTAAGGCTCTCGAATCGTTCGATTTTTACACTTTCGATTTTTTTCCATGAAATTTCTCGCGTTTCGATGTGGCGAATCGGGAATATTCTAACGTTCAGATCTTCGGTTCACAAATATTTTGATTTTTACTCGGCCGAATATTTGGACGAATTATCTCGCGTTTCAATATGGCGGCTGGGTTAATTGGTTAGGGTACTTTGGGTGGAAATTAGGAATATTCTAACGATCAGATGTGAGGGGAATATTAAACTGCAGCCTGATGATTCACGAATTTTCGCTCACAGTGTATAACCGACGCTAAAAATAAATCTCGAGCAATTGAAGAGACGAGAATGAAAACCAAGTAAAGACTAAACTGCGCATTTTGCAGAAACTGAAAACTAAACGAAATATTCATCCCTATTAGCAAACTTGGAGTAATTTTATATTTTGAAAATTATAGTCGAATTTTAGCTTTTGCAAATTTTAATCGTCGAATTTTATATTTTGCTAATTACAATCGTCGAATTTTAGATTCTGCAAACTATAATTGTCGAATTTTATATTTTGCAAATTTTAATCGTCGAATTTTATATTTTGCTAATTACAATCGTCGAATTTTAGATTCTGCAAACTATAATTGTCGAATTTTATATTTTGCAAATTTTAATCGTCGAATTTTATATTTTGCAAATTACAATCGTCGAATTTTATATTTTGCAAATTACAATTGTCGAATTTTAGCTTTTACAAACTATAATTGTCGAATTTTATATTTTGCAAATTACTGAAAAATAATTTCGTATTTTTCAAATTTTGTCGTTGAAAAATACAAGACTTGACTTCGTCCATTTAAGCCATTTCTCCATCTCTAATAATTTTCGAGATATTAGACAAACTATGTTCTTCACCCTCATCTTTAAAGGCGATTTTCATCCCTTCGATGTAAACGATTGTCGATAAAAAAAAAAATACGTGTCAAAAATTTTTCTGAGTACTATCGCATACCAAAGTTTCATCAAAATCGGTAGTTGTCTCGTTAGTTGTCATTCTCACATTTTCAATTGCACAAAAGAATTCACTTGAATTCACATTCATTGATAAGTCTCACTCAAATCACTGATAACGCATAACTACACGTGTTTAGCTAGAAGAAAATGAAAAAACCCGATTGCACGTGTAACGACAATCGACTGTTTCAGTTTACGGGAATAAAACGAAACCGTGTCTCGTCGTAGAAAACTCTTACGGACGTCGTAAATGTCTCACGTCTCTTCGAACGGAATAGTCTGTTCGAATATATTCTTCCCTCCCAATAAGACGTTCAATTTACACACGTTGTAATTATCACACGTAGAATTCGCGTTGTATATGATACGACGAAGTTGACGAGACTAATACACAGGCTAGAATCGAAAAATTTTTAATTAGGCACTCGAGATTCACTCGAGTACCGAACCGACGAGACTCGATGCTGCACGAGAACTTGATGACCGTGCATATGTATATACATATATTCAACGTTTCTCCTCTCGGCGATGTTTAACCACAGAAAATGCGCGAAACTTTCGAGCAACGCTTCGGTTCGCTTTTTTAAAGGTGACTTTTTCGACGACCGCACAGCTCGTCGTTAACTCCTTGCCTTATGACGTCGAGTCACGTTAAATTCTGCCAAATTGTGGTCGAAATGTGACAAACACGAGTTTCACCCTCGATAAACTGCAATTTCCCGGCCCAACTTTCGTTTCGATATATAAACTTGAGAATTACGAAGTTTCGAGTAAATTTAACAAATTTCTACTTTTTCTTTTTTTTCATTTATTTGTTTTATTGTTATTTTGAAAAATTATTAGTTGGTTTAAAAAGTACGGTTAGTAAAAAGGATTGCAAGTCAAGGGGTTAAACGTGTCGGACCATTAGGCAGTTACCAGACACGATCCTCGAGCGAATGTTAATCGCGTTAATTGCGGTCTAGACTTCGCTAAATAGGAAACGATTATATGTGTAGATTAATATTACAAACCAATTTAACAGCCACCGTAGACGACCCTCACCTTTCTTCAGTTTCTTCCTTTCTTTCGTTCAGTTATACTTCCCTCCGTTTACCCAATTATCATTCACGAATTTGTTACTTTATGTTACTGTATCTCCCGTGCTTCTTTTTAACGCAGCCGCAAATTTCAGTCTTTCAGTTAACGAGCATGTCGCTGTTCATTATATACTCTCTCTCGATGTGTATTCACTCGTATCATTCATCACGTACATGTATATTTTTTAGACTATAGATGTTTGCTGATTCGATCGATCGAAAATTCAAATTTGACCAGGTGAAAAATTTTTAAAATTCATATCTCAAATTTAAAGTTTTGCAACTTGAATTTTTCAGAATTAAAAATTTTTTGAGAGTTAAACGTCAAAGGATAAAAAAATTTGTCAACTGTTGATACCTCTGAATTACAATTCTCTTCAGTTAAATATAAAAACAGAATTTTCGCGATTTTCGACAAATCCTTTTATCGGAAGAAAATGGAATTTTCGACGAACACTTCAGTAGATATCCCGATGCTTGGCCTTAGGCATTGGCCGCAGAACGACCTTCATCCTTCACCGATCCCCAGCAAATCGTCCAGTGTCCCTCTCGCCACTCTTTTTCTTCC